AGTGGTTAAACTTTAAATTGCGCCTTAAAACTTTGAAAGTTAAGGTTTAAGTTTAAAATAATACTAAGCTTTAAACATTAACGTTTGAAACATAACTTTAACCTTTAAGAGTTAAAGTTTAAGCCTGCATACTTTAAGCCTTTACTTTAAAAAATTTCACATTGAAGCGAATATTTTCCTATAAAACAAATTTTTCTTAAGAATTCATAAAAGTGGATAAACCTTTATAAAAGTATCCATAACTTTACATGCGCCGTGTAACGGGGGTCATTCATATGTAATCATCTACTATATAACGCAGATATCCTGGCCTCATCAAGTAGTATATAAATGAGATCCTGTACAACAGTGCATGCAGTATATTACACCGTTGCATTGCATGTATGTCAACGTTGGCTGCACACCGGTAGTACTCATCTGCCTTCATGAAGTATATAGCTTGGTTGCAAATCTTTCAGAGATATGATAAAGAAGTACGAATAACGGTGCGTGGACACCATGAGGAAGCGTGTGGAACTCATCAGCACCTATTAAACAGTCGGAAAATTCGGCCCCGCAATGTCATTGCGTAGTAGGATCGCTTCTCATAGTCTTGCCTGGATATCTCGGAGTGGTGACTTTATGCTGCTAATACCTTCAAGAAGGCATAGCATGGCACTGCGAGACCTATTACTTGATTTTTCCCAGCTCAAACGTGGCTTTAATCAATCTGGAAGCTGGAATTCTTCACCATTATACAAAATTGTTATTCGCAGTGTTGTTTTATACAGTATCTCCATGACTAGCCAGACTAATCTGCAACCATTTAGCCTTGGGCTCCTTAATTGTGTCATAACATTTGACCTTAGTAACTGTTAGCAGTCATTTACTATTATTATGTGATTGGGTATTAAAATAATATGATCTGGTAACAGTGACTCTATTCTTAACCTTCTCCATTTATCTAGAAACCTTCTGAATTTCTTGTACAATCGAAAATTACAAGCAAGGATCTTCTCAAGTTTTCGAAAGGATCCTGCCTTAACTCCTGACAATTCGTGTTACTACTTAGGAATATTTCAGTTAGACAGATTCATAATAGAATTTATTCAGGTTCCTGCTCTGACTTTTTCTAGCTCTTCAGATAGGGCGATTTTAGGATTGAGTACTGATACTTCAGAGAACCTATTAGAAGAAAAGGAACGTCGACTTTCTCAAGATTTTGTCAGTTTTTCGTCAGATATAGGTTGGGATCTTCATATAAGGATTCATTCTACTTTTTACATAAGCCAGCAACGACAATTACCATAAACGTTTTCGTCAAAACAAAAGCTTTTGGGTATAAGTACATGGGCTCTTTTGAATACTGAAACAACACCTAAACCTAGACATATCCTGATAGAATCATGGTTCCAACCTTATTAGGATGTTAGAATTTTGTGGCAATACCTTTTCAAAGACATTCGTGTGATCGTGGCAAGATACTAGGAGGAATTTAATAGCAATCTTGTCACAACCTCAGAGTATTGTGGAGCGCATTA